CGAATGCAGCAAAGAATGCTCACCTTGGCGATTAGATTGTTATTCTGGATTTGACTACCTTTTTGGTTTCTTGTTCTTTGCTTGGTTATGTGTGTGTAATTATTCGGTGTTGTAATTATTCTACTGTTGGTCCAATATTATTGTTGTTAATGCTTGAATGCATATCGATAACATGAGGATTGATCTCGATGAGACTAGTGTTGTTGCATTTGATATTATCGGCAGCGTCGATATCTTTCTTTTCGTGTTGCATTTGATATTATCGGCTGCGTCGATATTTTTTCAGGTCAGGTTATCGGATGTTAAATCGAGCCCATAGGGCCTAATAAACGTGAGGGTGGCAACGCCTGAGTGTGGAAATGCGGAAGAGCGTCGGCGATTGGCAATGCGATTCGCTCAGGGAGTGGGTGGGAGAGCGAATCGGGAGCCCTTCGTATTGCCCTTGGCCTTCAACTGGGCCAAAATACGCAGCTGTGCATATGGGCAGCAACGGTGACCACTAATATAAGGGTGTACCAAATATTCGGCACCGATCACGTTGCTGCTCAGATGTACAGAGTTCAGGGAGTTCGACCTTGTCAGCGGTCGACAACAGGCGTGCTCTGCGCAATCGCATCCTTTTGAAAAATTTGAAGAAGAAAAAAGAAAAGAAAAACTCCTTCAACACTTACCTGTTTGTGAACCAAATATTAACTAAATGATAAATAATCTTCGGATCATGCCGAACTAAATAAAAAATATATCAAAATAAAAAGGTTCATAGCGCTGCGAATTATTAAAACAATTCGAAAATTCGTTGAATTGTCGGACCTAGCATGGCCTAAAACAAAAATTAAACTTTACGATAAAACTTAAAGCTGAACAAACAAAACAAATCAAAAAAAAATAAAAGCGTCGACCAAACTGGCCGACCATGTTTTCCGGCCGGAAATCAGGCAGGCCCTGTAGGCGTCGAAATCTTCTACGAGGCGGGAGGAGAACAAAGAAGGGGCTAAACAGGTGAGATAAAATTTGAGTGAGTCCATTCCAAGAATAAGTATACAATTACCCTCGAATGTGGTGTACAGTGGCGACTTGTAATAGTCTTGGTGAATTTTCTTGTCGTTGTATTTCTATTGCTTGCATTTACTTGTCAGAGAATGTCTGTAAAAAGATAAAAGTTTTATAGTAAATACTTATTGTCAGCAGTTATAGGAATATAGGAACCAAAGCTCGTGGCCATGTCTGCTTTCGCTGCTATGCTACACATCACAAAGTATTGCAAAGCAATTTCGTTCTTAGCCATTTTGCGAGCCTCCAACCGCTTTCCAACATCACACGCCGTTAACTTCTGCCACTAACCATAGATCATATAGATGAGACAACTAGTACAATTCATGTGGACATTCAAAATTGATGACATCTGCTCCAAACTCGTCTTCGTTTTTGTTCGGGTCCAAGATACGCTCACTTACTCAGAGAGCAAAAAAGTAAGAAATACATATTATTTGTATGGTAGAACGGCATCGCTGTATTGTATCTCTCTCCCACTACAGGAAACTGCTTTGGCTTACTCTCAGTGCTCTCAATGCTCTCTCATTATGTCTAGGGATCGTTTAAATGCTCGCCTTTTATTTTTAAGTATGGAAGATCGGTAAAAGGGCGTAATGGTTATTACAAATAGGCGGAAAGAGTCTTCGACACCAGGACCATAATCTTTTTCAAATATCTTAAAATAAATACAGTCATCGGTTGTAGTAGACAAAGAATTTGAAATCTGAGCGATCCAGAATAGCACACAGTAATCAGGGGCTGAATAAGAAACATCAATATTCACAAAAACAAATCTAAAATCTCTTAAAGACATACAAAATTCTACCAATCCCGTGAAAAAAAGAAAAACGTACAATTCGCCTATATACGAACTTTAACTTTCTAAACTATTTAAAAACTCTTGACTGCTGCTGCAAACATATGTATATGCAAGCGCGAAAGAAATTTTTTAATATAGCTTGCCAATAACATACAAGAACATCTTCTATATACACAAATATTACAAAAATAAATAATACGTTTCTTATGTCAACCTTTTTGTTCTAGTGCATAAAGTTTTTTGCCTTTTTCTGTAAAATGTGCAGTTTATTAAGAGTTTGTTGAATCATTAATTACCAGTTAACTCATTTAACATATAACCACTAACCAAACAACAAACAGATGAGACATCTAGTACAATTAATTTGGACATTCAAAACTGCTGACATAGGGTCCAAAATCGTCTTCGTTTTTGTACGGGTACGAGACAAGCTCACTTGCTTAGCGAGCAAGACAGTTAGAAATACATATGATTTGTGTGGTAAAACAGCATCGCAGTCTTTTATCTCGCTCCCAGTACAGGAAACTGCTTTGGCTCACTCTGGTTCATATGATTTGTGCGAGAGAACGGCATCACTGTTTTTTATCTCGATTTCACTACAGGAAAGTGCTTTGGCTTACTCTCAGTGCTGTCATATTATGTCTAGGGATCGTTTAAATGTATGTGTTTTTGTCTGTCCGCACAAACAACAATGCGAACAAATTCAATTTTTTCTCAAATGTCGGTGGCATTTCTTCCTTTTTGAAGGGACGAGTAATATGAAATAATAAAAGGGTTTGCCACGTCGATGCGAAATTCTTGCATTTTAGCTCGTTATTGTTGGTAAGGGTAACTAAGCGTTGGCATGTGTGCAATTAAAATTTTTTTGACTTGCCATGCACGCACATTTGCACACTTTGTATATAAATAGAATCATTTCAAATTTTTCAAATTCAAATATGAATAAGCTAAATATTATAGGTCAATAAAATTATTAATTCTATAAATATAGTATGTATTCGCCCTCTTTTGTTTTTGGTAATATTAAATATTTTGTTTTTTGCACAAGTTTGCGTTGGTCATAAAATCATTTAAGTGATCAGTCACTTGACCTACATATGCAAGTGTAGGTGCTTACCAAGCGTGGCCAACGGCCACCTGCACGTAATAAGGGGTCAACATTCTTTCATCAATTCAAACCCGAAACCATAAAAAAGAAGTGCGCGAGTTATCTTCCGTGGCCGAGGGAGATAACAATTGTGTCCTGGTTGGAGGAGTTTGTTTGAAACAGTTTCACTCTGTATTGCTCTTTTATATGCTCATATGTTCAAGTAAATAACCAACTGATGGGTTTCATTCTTCAGCCAAGACTAACTTTACATTTACTCTTCAATCTTATGCTAAGCTAATGTTTACAATATATTATGGAATTTTTTCTCAACATCAGTCTGAGAAATTGGTGTTGTTCAATTGGTAGCGAAAGAAGTGTCGCAACCACATTCTCTTAAACTGCTTAGTTCGGAATGTGATACAAGGCACATAAAAACTGTGACAATGTACCGATGCCCTCTTGAGTGGGCTGCGAGAGACACGGGGAAAGGAATGTAACTCCATCCGTTTCTTAGCGGTTTAGTTTGTGGCATCGACTCTGCGATACCCTCGCTGAGAGATACGGTAACTCGCGTGTCAAAAGCGTGCCAATAATTCAATTTTCATTTGAGTCCATGATCTTCTCAATCACACACATTTGTGTGTGTGTGTATTGTGTATACGAAATTCATAAAACTTCAAATCTTGTCAAATTTGCATCGGACAGGCAGGCAACCATCATGCACACAAACACAATAATGCTTCTATCCAAATAACATATAGACTGGTCAAACCGTATATTTGGTGGCGACAATCGTTTTTTTTGCGGCTGGTCCGATTTTAAAAATATCATTATTGGCACGCGTCTAACGCGCGCCCTTCTTTTTATGATTTAGGGTTTGAATTGAATAGCTTGAATATGATAAGTCAATAAAATCAATAATACAAAAAATATATACATTTACACATAATTGAAGATTTAATTTTTTGCACATATATCCGCTGGTCACAAAATTATTTAAGTGATCAGTCACTTGACCTATGTACATATGCAAGTGCGGGTGCTTGCCAAAAGTTTACCCTTTCGGCCCAACGGGCTGCTGCAGATAATAAGGAGTCACGCGTCAGACGCGTGCCAATAATGATATTTTTAAATTTTGCGCCCATGATCAGCCCATTCACACACATTTGTGTCTCTGTGTGTGTGTGTAGAGCTCGAAATTCAGAAATCCAAAAATATTGTCAAATTTGCATCAGACAGGCAGGCAGGGACCAACAAGCACACATGCGCATAAATGCTTCTATTCATATACAAAATACGCAAGTATGCGTCAATAGCAAGTCCAAAAACTTTTAAATGCACACATGCCAACGCTTAGGTACCCTTTCGAACACGAACGAGCTAAAATGAAAGAATTTCACATTGACTTGGCAAACCCTTTCATAATTTCATATTACTCGTCCCCTCAAAAGGGAAGAAATGCCACCGACTTTTGAGAAAAATTGAATTTGTGGGCATTTTTGCTTGTGAGGACACATACACACACAAACATTTAAACGGTACATAGACAAATTGAAAGAGCACTGAGAGTAAGCCAAAGCAGTTTCCTGTAGTGGGAGCGAGATAAAAAACAGCGATGCCGTTCTATCGCACAAATCATATGGATGAGAGTAAGCCAAAGCAGTTTCTTGTAGAGTGAGCGAGTAAAAAGACAGCGTTGCCGTTCCACGACACAGGCCATATGTATTCTTACTCTCTTGCTGTGAGAGCATGCGGGCATGTCTCGAACCCGAACAAAAACGAAGGCGACTTTGGACCAGCCGCAAAAAAAACGATTGTCACCACCAAATATACGGTTTGACCAGTCTATATGTTATTTGGTTTGTGATTTAACAGAGTTATAGATACATACTTAACGACAACTAAGTTTATCAGCGAATTTGTTGGAATTTAAATTAAATTTTTTCAAATTTGCTTGTAATAGTCATATCGAACTGATTTAGAATATAAAATAGCAATTTTCAAGTTAACTATCCTGATCTTGAAATCATGAATACATTTTGCACTATTTATTTTTAGGTTCCCTTAGCAGTGTGCCCGATGCCACATGTAATGCAGACGACTTTGACTGTGAAAACGAAAACGTACAAGATCGGCTCGGCATGGAGGCTATCGCCACTTTGCATCGTCAACTAGATGACGACGATAATGGAAATATCGACTTGAGCGAATCGGATGATGTATGTAAATTAACAGCCACTCTTTAAATTTAATCTTATCATTTATTGTTGAAAATAGTTTCTTCGTGAAGAATTGAAATATGACTCCGGTTATGAAAAACGTCAAAAGGCATTTCATTTTAATGATGATATGCATATTTCGGTTAAAGAGCTATGGGATGCTTGGTTACGCTCGGAGGTACATAATTGGACCATTGAGCAAACCACTGATTGGTTGGCTCAGTCAGTTCAACTACCGCAGTATGTTGACCTTTTCAAATTACACAAGGTTACCGGTGCTGCTCTACCAAGGTAGGTACTCTTGTTGCATAGAAATAGTTAAGCTATATTCATATAAATTATTAAACTTGTGCATTATTCATATTCAACCGCAATAAAAGGAAGAATGATTCTTGACGGTGCAACTGACTGCGTAATACTTGTTCGCTGCCCCAAAGTCTAAAATAATATCACCCTAGTTTAGAGCGATGTAACGAAAATTCCGGGTTTCCATTCCTTTAGCAAGCGCAACCATTTCTAACGTGGGGATATACGAGCGTGTATTTCATGTTAAAAGTCTTGAAGTGTCGGTGATTAAAAGGCACACAAATATATACATACATACCTATAAAACTTGTTGATATCATTATTTGTATACCCTGAACCCATTGAAACTGGGTATAAAGGGTATAATTTATTTGTGCAAATGTATGTTACAGGCAGAAGGAAGCATCTCCGACCCCACAAAGTATATATATTCTTGATCAGCATCAACAGCCGAGTCGATCTAGCCATGACCGTCTGTCTGTCTGTCCGTCCGTCCGTCCGTATGTATGAACGCATGGATCTCAGAACCTATAAGAGCTAGAGACTTGAAATTTTAGCTGTAGGTGCCTAAAAATCGATATCGAAATCTTGTTTTTTAAGCAAATTGGGTAAATAATAAGTGCTAGAGTCACCAAACTTGAGATGTAGCTTTAAGAATAGTATATAAGTTAACCACTGACTATTGGTATGTGCTGACCCAGCGTTCTGGGGAAGCCAATGACCAGAGTCATGTGGCGACGGATATGTCGCAACTATGTCACCGGCCGCGACGGTCATCCGACACCGCACACGAGGCGCTAACGCTGCACTTTTGCGAGAGCGGCGGCAGCGGTTCTGCAGCAGCGACGGCGGCTCTTGGGCAGCGACGGCGGCTCTGCGGGCATTGCTTAGATTGATAAAGATTGTATTGTTTAGTCTAAGTTTGGAAACAATAAAAGCGCGACGTATCGTCCCTTAAAGTCTCCCTTTAGTTAACTCATTTTTTATATGCATCTTTACATGCAACCGGCAAACCCAAAGTTGCAGACATTAATGCACTAATTGGCGCCCAACCTAAAAAACCCAATAATTAAAAATAAAAAATAAAAAAAAAACGCGATAAAACGGTTTCAAAGTCAACATTAACGTTAATCGTGAAAAACAATCTAAATAAAAAAACACAAATCGGCAGCTCTGGTTGTGACAGCAGCGGTGGAATTCGTAAAAAAATTACAACATCAACAGAATCATCTATAGTTGTGACAGCGGCGGTGGAATTCGTCAAAATACGTACAACAATAGAATCATGTAAGTGATTTGTGAAGTGAGAATATAAAATTTCAAGAACAATTTTTTTTCGAATACGCACAAATTAATTTTGTTAAAGTAAGAAAAGGAGTGTCTATTTCTGATTGAGGAAAAAATTTATAAGAATCCCATTAGCTTAACCTTTTATGTGTTGTTCGGTTTCATACAGAGGTTTAAATTCGAATGAGCGACTGTGACTCCGACGTAGACGCGCATGAACACTACGATAGCGACGACAGTATTTTAGCGAGGTTAATAGGGGGATTTGGAACATTGCAGGTATCAGGTTGTGTCACCCCAACTGAACATAATACAGAAACAGACTCAGTTATGGACCCAGAGCAGTTGCGCGCGATAATTGAGGCCGCAGTGCGGAGCGCACTCACAGCGCAGGCGCAAGAATTCGCGAATAGGGAAGCTACGCTAAGGCAAGAGCTTCAACAACAAATTGCGCAGGTATCGAATAAGCTAAGAAACACACAACTTTCAGTCCCGGAAGTAAAGGTTTACAGGGAAGTTGAAATCATAGACGGGGTGGAATGTAATGAGCCGCTCGACGTGGTAAAATGTCTTACCGAGTTCCATGGGACTCAAGACACTTACGTGTCCTGGAGGCAGGCCGCGCATGCCGCCTATAAAATTTTCAAAAAATACGACGGTAGTTCACGTCACTACCAAGCCACCGTAATCATTAGGAGTAAAGTGAGAGGCCCGGCAGACGCGGTCCTCGCCTCGTTTAACACGCCGTTAAACTTTGAGGCCATCATAGCGAGGATGGACTTCACTTATAGTGATAAGCGGCCTATCCATGTAATTGAACAGGAAATGGGTACGCTTAGGCAGGGCGGCATGTCCATTCTACAGTACTACGATGAGGTTGAAAAGAAACTCACGTTACTCACAAATAAAGCCCATATGTCATATGACAGCAATCTGGCAGCGGGAATGTGTGAAAAATTCAGGGGTGACGCACTTCGCGTATTTATCTCTGGATTAAAACGCAGTCTAACCGATGTGTTGTTTTCGGCTCACCCCTCGGATCTACCGACGGCACTAGCGCTAGCCCAGGAGGTCGAGGCTAATCACGAGAGATATGCCTTCGCGACAAGTTTTGCTAGGGGGCAAGAAGAGCGATCTCGTCCAGAGCAGCGCCCACAAGGGCGCCAGCAACAACAACAGCAAGAAAAAAAGCAATTCTCTCAGGGTGGCCAGGGCAAGAATCCTCATTTCAAGAAGCAGAACGGCCAATCCACAGACAAAGCCCAGAATAGAGCTGGGGCCGATGCCCCAGTTCCCATGGAAGTCGACCCTTCTTCTTCCAGGTTTAGGCAACCCACAAACTTTTCGAATTCCCAGGGCTCGGCTAAGTTTAACGCCAGCCAAGGTCAGGGAAATAAACGCTCCGCCGGATCGGAACGCGCGACAGGCCAAAGGAGGCAAAGGGTAGACCACGTCCAGGCGAGCGAGGCCGAGAGCGCAGGGTACACCGACGCGGCACAAGAGGCGTCAGACGAACAACAAGACGAACATAGCCCTGATTATGATAGCGATAGCGCTAATTTTTTAGGGGAAGGTCCCTGCTACCGTTCATTCGACGGAGAATAGCGGGGGTAGATATGAGATTTTTAATCGACACGGGTGCGGCAAAAAATTACATCAGACCGCACAAACGCCTTAAAGGCGTCGTCCCGGTCGAGTCCCCTTTCGTTGTCCACTCCATTCATGGGTCCAACAACATCGCCGAAAAATGCAAGTTATCCATGCTTGGGTGCGACACATATTTTTTCCTACTAGATTCTTTATCCACTTTTGATGGAATCATAGGGTTGGACCTGCTAAAGCAGGTGGGAGCGGTTTTATGCCTAAAAAAAGGTATGTTAATATTTGGTGCGACTTCGGAAGCGTTGCAGTACCACAAATGTGTGAGCGTTAATCACACGAAGAATAAAGAAGTCGAGGCACCACCTGCGGTGAAGGCAGATTTCCTGCGAGTACTTCATCGAAACAACAAGGCTTTTGCGGACTCCAACGAGGCGCTGCCTTATAACACGGCTGTTGTGGCCACGATCCGTACGACCGACGAAAATGTGGTCTACTCAAAGCTATACCCCTACCCTAGGGGTGTAGAGGATTTTGTCGTTTCAGAAGTCAACGAACTACTAAAAAACGGCATAATTAGAAAGTCGAAATCACCCTACAACAATCCACTGTGGGTGGTCGATAAGAAAGGCACAGACGAGGTAGGCAATAGAAATAAACGTCTCGTAATAGACTTTAGGAAGCTCAACCTCAAGACGGTTGCCGACAAATATCCAATGCCAAGTATCACAATGATACTGGCTAATCTGGGTAAAGCCAAGTACTTCACGACGCTCGACCTAAAGTCAGGTTATCACCAGATTACGCTGGCGGAGCAGGATCGTGAGAAGACGGCCTTTTCGATCAATGGCGGGAAGTACGAATTCTGTCGACTTCCCTTCGGTTTGAAGAATGCAGCAAGCATTTTTCAGAGAACCATAGATGACGTCCTGCGGGAGCAGATTGGAAAATCTTGCTACGTTTATGTAGATGACGTCATCGTCTTTTCGGAAAACGAGTCGGACCATGTCAGACATGTCGACTGGGTATTAGGGAGCCTTTTAAATGCGAACATGCGCGTGGCGCACGAGAAGTCACAGTTTTTTAAAGAAAGCGTCGAGTACCTCGGCTTCATAGTGACTAAAGACGGTGCAAAGTCAGATCCAGAAAAGGTAAAGGCCATTCGGGAATATGCCGAGCCGACCACGGTGTTTGAAGTAAGATCCTTTTTGGGGCTGGCAAGCTATTACCGCTGCTTTATCAAAGATTTTGCAGCAATAGCGAAACCAATCTCCGACATCCTAAAAGGGGAAAACGGATCCATTAGCAAGTACAGGTCTAGAAAGGTCCCTATACAATTCAACGATGCTCAACGCAACGCGTTCCAGAAGCTTAGGAACATATTAGCGTCGGAAGACGTCATACTGATGTACCCGGACTATAAAAAACCATTTGACTTGACCACAGACGCTTCAGCCTATGGCATAGGTGCTGTCTTGTCGCAAAATGGTCGCCCCATTACTATGATATCCCGGTCCTTAAAAGATAGGGAAGCAAACTTCGCTACCAACGAGCGGGAGTTGCTTGCCATCGTCTGGGCATTGGGTAAGTTACGGCACTTCCTTTACGGGGTTAGGGACATAAATATCTTCACTGATCACCAGCCTCTCACGTTCTCGGTATCCGAGAGCAATCCCAATGCAAAAATAAAGCGCTGGAAAGCGCGCATTGATGAAACAGGGGCTAAGCTTTTCTATAAGCCTGGTAAAGAGAATCATGTAGCGGACGCGCTGTCGCGCCAGAACGTGAACGCCCTGCAGGGTAGCCGCGATGAACCAGAATCTGACGCGGCCACGATTCACAGTGAATTGTCCCTGTCTTACACAATCGATTCCACGGAGAAGCCCTTAAACTGCTTCCGAAACCAGGTTGTATTAGAGGAATCTCGCTTTCCTCTAAAAAGAAATTTCATACTTTTCGGCGAGAAAACCCGCCATTTGATAAACTTTACCGATACGGTCGCCCTCATCGAAACGATAAAGGCCATCATTAACCCAAACGTGGTTAATGCGTTTCACTGTACTCTCCCAATCTTGGCCAGTTTCCAGCACGAGTTGGTA